GCAGGTGATCTCAAAGAAGAGAGGTGGGATTTGGTACAGAACTGTAAGAAAAATAATTCCTGCTCCTGCTTGTACTGAAATATCCCCAACATTCACATTGTCAAACCTTTGCCACAGGAAACTAATTTTTGAAGAGAAAACCATTTTCTCCCGGAATCACAAAATTCTAAGGCATAGTATTAATATATAAACTGGCTACCATGATTTTATGTTTAGTTTATAAGTGACACCTTAAAAAGTCAGATACCAGAAGAAGCAGGTCACAGCCACAGCAAGGGGTTCATAAAAAAAGGGAAAAATACAGAAGTCAATTTACTGGCATGTGGTACAGCAGAAAATAACATTTGGTCTTTGAAACTTCCTGTACCTCAGGGAGTTGGCTGCAGCATGCAAAAGGCTTAAACCCCTTGTTACTGAAGGAGGAAACAAAAAGCATTACTTGTCTTATGGCCAGGGAAGAGAAGGCCAAGAATGTTTTTGATTGCCTGCCTGACCCATTTTTTGTAATGTAGATGACTGCTTGCTGCTCATGAACTTCCCCTGTTGTGAAGTTATCAGAATAGAGCTTATGAGTTTGGAGGAATCTGGGAGATACCTGCTTGACTGTGGGTGAGAAAGACAGGTAGATTAGCTTATAAATGAGAAAGACAGGTAAAATAGCTTACATGTTAACCCTAGAGTTAAGCAGGAACCTGAGTCAACAATTAGCTCTCTGTGATCGCTCAGTGCAAACTCTGAAAGGCATTAGCCCTGCAGGTACCACTGCTTGGAGATAGCAATGACCAGGAGGGGTATTTCAGTTTAAGTGGAACTGACCCTTCAGAGGGAGGTTTGCTGCTTTGAGTGATTGCCTTTGATGTGGCAAAACATGAAACACACAATGTCTTTTTATGTGGCCTGAAAACTTTGGCAAATATGGAGGAACTATAATACTCTTCATCTGATCAAGATGGAGAAATCAGTAAGTTTTAGGGTAACCAACCTCTTTTTTTTTTCTCCAGGTAAGCAAGTATAGTCCCACAAGTATGCTAACCCTGGTCTGGCCTTGGTAGGAATCAGGATGGATAATACAGCTTTTAATGTGCTTTGCCTCTGCAGCTGAGCTGCACTACAGCTGCAATGCTGTACTGTGGTGTGCACACAAAGGACATGGCTCTAGGTGAAGGAATGATGATCATGCAAAAAGTGACTTGAGAATGCCAGGTGTCTTACATTTTATGGGATAGTGGACTGGTGAACAGGAGCTTTTCCTACAGCCTTCCTCTGCTTTTTACTGCTTGCAGTGTTGTCAGCAAGCCTCACTGCTTTGGAGGGAGTGGAGATGAGTTGCCAATTGCTGTTTCTCATCTTGTGGGTTTGAAGAGCTGTTTCTCACTGACACTGGCCTGAAGCCTATAAACACTCATTCCTGGGGTAACCACAAGAGGATTTTCCAGAGCAAAGGCCACTAAAACACTGTCTGCAGTGCTTGGGGAAAGTTTCAGAATGGAAACTGAGATGGAGCCTGATATTCCATTTGTTTTAGTAACAATGTCTTGAGCTGAGAAGGAAAATTCATGCAATTAATACATTTAAATATAGTGGTATTTTTTTCTTGCTTTTAGCTCTGAGAACAAAGGACTAGTTCATGGTAAGGAGTGAATCCAAAACTCTGAAGTATAAACTACAAACTTTGGTTTAATAATTTCTGTTAATCATCAGAGCAATCTTTGTAAATTCAACTGTGTAAGAATCAGTCTTTTCCATGTCTCCTTAGCATCCCTTCAGTCCATGTCCTGCATTAGCTTCTATTCACTCCGCTGTTACTCGGCTTTAACATTCTAAATTAACTTCAAGCTCTTGTGTAAGAAAGAAGGAAGTAGGCAGGCTCCCCTGTGGTGTGACAGTGGGAAAGAACCCAAAACACACGAATGTGAAAGTTCTGCTGTTTGTGAAGACAGACTATTTTTCTTCATGTTATGTATTAAGTATTTAAGATGATTAGTTGGCAGGTACACATTATCTTCAATGATATGGAACTGTACAGCTTGTACCATCTGGCTCTGAGACTGCCAGCACTGAAAAATCTCACTGTGACAAAGCTGCAATAGTCAGAAAATGCATTTCCTTTCTCCCAGTTGACTCTCAGTAATCTGGTCTTTGGTAAATGTCAAGCGTGGGGTTTAATTCTGAGTTTCCTGGCTCTCATGTACCTTCTGTTTTAACCAGCTTCAGACACGACTGCTGGTACAGTTTTATCATGTGCTAACAACAAGACACTGATAAAGGGGAGCGTAGTACACACTTAGAGACTTGCCCTAAATACTACAGGCAAACTTAATCTTTTTGCTGATAACACAGTTCATAAGGAATAAAGATTACAACGGTGAAGGTGCCAGCACTGCAGGAACTCACTCTGGTGAGGGAGAGGAGGGAAACGAAGTTCAAAGATTTGGCTGCGCACCCAGTATGACAAATACAAACTGGTGAGCTGTGTGTGTTTGTTAATAAGTACTACAGCTTCCTTGGCAGTTCTGTTCGCTGGAGCTCCTTGCTTTTCCAGGAGCCAGTGGTGCTCCCCACTGCCAGAGCTTTTCTAGCGGCAGAGACCTGGCATGATCCAGGGGGGTGAAATCACAGAGATGGCTGCTTTCTGGATGCTGTAATATTGCACATGCTCCCAGAGCTACATAAAGCAGATCTGCTGAAGTTTTGAATTCCACAGCTCAGCTCCAGCTCCAATCCCTGCAAGGAAATGAAGGGCTGGGGTGCTGCCTTCTGGGTCACAGAGAGGGATGGGTAGCTCCTTGCCAGTCATATCCTGGGGACAGATATGACTGGCAAGAGGTAACCTAGCACTAGAGCAGGGCCCAGGGTGAGCCACAGTTCAAGGTGTAGCTAGGTTTTCATCTCCACTTGTGCAGTGAGCCCAAATGCCCAGACCTGGTTCGGGAGACACTAAGGGCGAGGCAGAGTCACTGCTGTGTCTGAAACACAGATCCAAAGGCTCTCCCTGGGGAGACCTTTCCCAGCTCAAGCCTGCAAGAAAAACAAAACCCTTTGGGCAGCCACGGGACTTCACATTGATTTCCCTCCTTTTTATTGACTTCCTCCTAAACGCATCAGTTTGCCTTCAGTAACTGTGAAGTTCAAAGGCTCTTGGAAAAAACTCCCAGCTCTTTCCCAGTCTCTCTGGCAGCTCGTGTGCCACAGAGCCCAGGCAGCTCTCCCCTGGCAGCAGTTCTCCCCGGCAGCCTTCCTCCCGGCTGTGCCCAGACGGTGACAGGACACCTTGACCTCCGCCCTGGCACGTCTGGCTGTGCTGCGCTGCACTACGTTCTCCGGGCTGGAGCAGCACCCAGCGCTTGTCCGCGACATCCCTGCAGCCCTGCTGAAGACACTCAGCATGCCAGTGTCGGTCCCCGGTAAATGTCCTTGTCCCCGGTAAATGTCCGATCGCGCCGGGTGCCGAAGCGATGGGATGCCCCAAACAGCGTGGCTTGTATCCCGCGCCTGCTGGAACTCCTGGTGGGAGCACATGGACGTCCTCGGTGCGCACCGCCTCCAGCAGCTCCGCAGGCCCTCGGAGGACGGCTGGCAGCTTATGTCCCGCGTGGGAATTGTGCTGGTTCTTTCTCAGCCCGCGCTATGATGTCTGCACCCTGCTCACCCCTGCTCAGAGCCTCGCCAGGCTGCACCCTTGCAGGGCAGCGTACAGCGGCCAAGCGCTGAGCAGCCCGAGACAGCATCCGCTGTGCCAGGCACGGGATAGCGCCGCTGCCTAGCCCCGCCGAGACCTCTCCCTCCGAACCCAGAGAGAGAAACCCGAGGCAGAAGCGTGCGAGGAGGATCGGCCGGGCACGTTTGGAAATCCGCCCGCCCTTCGCACACGGAGCCCGCGGGGCGGGCCGGGCCGCGCAGCCGCTGCGGGCGGGCGGGGCGGTGCCGCCGCTGCCCGGGGCGGTGCCGCCGCTCCCGGCTCCCTTCCGCCGCCGCTTCTCCTCGCCCGGCCCCGCCGGCCGTGAGGCTGCTGCCCGCTGCCCCTCGCCCCTGGGCGGCCTCGGGGCGGAGGGCCCGAGCGGCCCGCCGTGGTTTTGCCTCTCAGTGTTTCCGCTGTTCCTCCCCGGGCTCCGCTGCCCTGGCGCTGCTGCGGCGCCGTTTCCCCTCAGAAGGTGGCGGGGCTGCTCGGGCTCGGGCCCACGCCGCTCTCCTGGCTCGCACCGCCCTGTGTCACTCGTGTTGTGCTTCCCTGCTAATATGTGCTTCCCTGAAATAACGCGTGAATGCTGCCTGAAGCAAAGGGGAAAGAAACGAGGCCGGGAGGAAGAGAACGCCCTCGCCTGCTGAGCAGGGCAGCTGGTAAGGCCAGTGCTTCACATCCTCCTGTATCCATCACACTCTGCAGCAATGCCAGCCTGTGCAGGACAGGCCTTGGGGACACACCCGGTCAGGGTGGCCCGGAAAAACATCCACTTTCTGCCTGAAAGTGTGCCTCTCCCGGTTGCTCATTGAAAATAATTGAGGTAATGGCCAAGGAAACGGGATTTGCGTTTTGTGAGCCTGTGTTGTACTCTACAGGGTGGGTTATGTGGCCCTTTTGAAGCACATTTCCTGGTTGAGGTTTGACACAACCGGCTGTTGACATCAAGATACCACTAGATAAACCTGTTGAGGAAATACCAGCTCTCCACAGGAGGGAGGGAAGGCTGCCAGCTATTACTTCTCTGCTTGATGGGTTTTGAACAAACAGCCCATCTGGCAGCTTCTTGTAAAGTAAATCTTGCCTTTACTTCTAGGACGTACCAGCCACTGCTGTCAAGAGGTTCAAGGGCATAACTAGATGTGCTTTTTCTGATTCCTAGAAGAAACTCTTCCTCTGTACCAGATCCAGCAAACAGTGGCATATGTGATGACTGGCTGTTGACACTGGCTAGCATATGCACTTTGAAAGGTCACCCTGTCCGTCCGCCAGATCAGCTGGCCCAAAGCATCTGACTGACCTGTTTGTTTCATTCCAGCAGTCTGGGGCTGACAATCCATGAAGGAAGAATAGGGGAATCCTGAAGCAGCAACAGCTCCTGGATTTTGTCCAGAGGGACTGTTTGCACATCAGTGCTCTCTCTTACCAGGTATGGCACAGAGGAAATAGTGAAGCTCCTTCATTTGTCTGAAGGCCCAAGGCTGAGCCTTTTCTCACAAACACCATGAGTTGTGTCTCACCATCAGCTTTGGGGGTAGGACTAAAGGGAGCTATTCCAGAGGAAAACTATTATTTTTTAATACTGTTTTGTTTTATCTGGGCCTGATCAAAACCTGGTTGCACATGGTGTTAGTCATGTTGTGGCAAAACAAGGAGGGGGAGTGGCACAGGCAGCTGGCAGAGACGTCCAGGGCTGCTGCAGCTCCCATCAGTGACAGCCTTAAGCTGCTGTGGTGTCACACCAGCAGCTCCTGTTGCTGTAATTTGCCATTTGCCCTCAGAGGGATAGAATTCATTTGACTTGTGGTGTGTGTTTTTGGGGTTTTTCCAGACCAGTGGAGGGTATAGGTAGTTTAGTTCTCTAAATACTATTCTACTTTAAAGTAGCACACATCATAAACACAATATTTGAGGAAAGTTTTTCCTCCTCTGTTTTCCTTATGCATAGATAACTTATATTTTGGTGCATGAAGAGCAATAGAGGAGAAGTTTCCTTCTGTTGGGGGAATTTGGTTGTGCACTTTGTTTTGTTTTTAACCTTCCACTGCCTTTTTTCCTGGAATCTTTCTGTGAGTGCACAGACCTTTTCCCTCCAAGGCAAGGCAGCTGCTTGTCTCTGGTATCACAGCCATCATCTCCCCTCTCCTCCTCTGTGAGTTGGCCAGCATTTTGCAAAGGTCAGAGGTGTATTTTAGATAAAAGTTTACTCAGCACAGAAGCTGAGTAAGGAATTATGTTATTTTTTTAAAAATCAGCCTGGAGATATTTCTTTTTCAGTACTAATGCATTCTGAGGATTTCCTTGTCCACTGTGGCTCTCACATTCCTTACTGATAATACTCCCAAAACAAGAATTTGTTGTCTTCATGTTATAGAAAAGAAGATAAATGTGAGCCTGCAGGGCCATAGGCCATTGCTTGACCACCAGATCTGGATCCTCTGTCTTGTCACTCTTACTCCACCAAGTTTTACTCATTTCACTTCTCTTCTTCCCCAGACACTCGTGTGACTGTGCTTGGAGCTGCTGGACTGGAACACTTCAGATCCATCCTCTCCAAAGGAGCTGCCCATTCACTGCAACCCTTGGTGTGGAGTAGAGTGGCACCAGCCCTGTCCTGCAGTGTGTTCTTTCCCTCTGTGGGGGTGAACTGGTTGAGGAAGCTTTTTGATAAAAAGGTGTTGGGATGAGGGGATGCTTCAACCAAAGCTTTCCAAAGTGCTGAGCACCAATAATTTAACACAGCTCCTCTGGCATCTCCTGCCAGGAGGTCTTTGCCATCCCTGTGAGACTGAGGCTACCAAGTTTTAAATGCTTTTTCTTTCTGCTAGTGAACATAAGCCAGGAGGGATGGCTTAACCTGAGACTTGTAGCAGCAAGGGACCCTGTAGAAAGTGTTTCCTTTTAAATGGCACACAGAGGGCACCCTGAAGGGAATATGCTCCATGGCTTCCTAGTCTTGGGGCCTGAGGCTGTACTTCTGGGAAGCCTATAGGAAAGCCAGGTTTATTGTGATCTCCTAGTTATCCTTCTTAAGGCTGAAGGCTGTTATCTATGGGGCTTGCTGTTGTTCCTTCTTTACACCTCTAAATTAGTTTTTATTTTCTTAATTGAAGTAGGATTATACTAAAGCAGCTCCTGTCATCTCATAAAGCAGTACAAAATTTCCAGATTATTTGTGCTGACTTCTGCTTAGATTTTCATGCTCCAAAAACCCAGCTGAGTCTCCTTTCTGTCTGCAGTGGGACCATGGAAGAAAAGGAGACATCACCGAGTCTCACCTCAGAGAGCAGCATATTGGACCTCCCCTCTGTTTGTGACCTAGCAGAGCCCTTTCTGCCTCCACACAGCTCTGAAAACAGCCAGGAGCTTTATCCTTCTGGGGATGTTTTTCCCTCCCCACCCACAGGTAACAGCTTCTGCTTCTCCACACGCTCTTTCTTTGGCCAGTGCTTCATCTGTGTAGGCAGTGTGTTGCTTGGCTGAGTCACTGCAGTCTGATACTGCCTGTCATAAACCCCAGTTTTACCAGAACTGCAGTCTGCTCCAGCTGGACACATACAGTGGGAGCTGTGGGTTGATGAGACACAGGAGGAGAGCTCAGAGGATGCTGTCAGCTGCAAATGTTCTGCAATACTCTTCATGTTTAATGTGTTCTCATGAGGACAACTAATATGTCCCTCAGACATCAGGAGTGAACACTGTCACAAATTAGCATAGTCAGTAGGAAGAGTTTTTAAACTTTTCCCTTTGTTTTTCATGTGCTCATCATGAGCTCAGGGTGCAGCCTCATTACGCCATTACTTTAATAATAATAATAACAATAATAGTAATAATAACAGAGTCTTTGCTTGTGCTAATGACATTGGTGTGGTGGTATCGTTTTAGGTCAGCCACTACTCCAGATGATTAGAAGTAATGGTATAAATTGTTTATCTGAGAAGATAAGGGACAGCTGGCAAGAAATGTGAGATCAAAATGTGCTGGCCCAATGGCACTTCTTGCCATATAGTCATGCTGGCTGGAATGAGGGTTCTAGACTGGGGGGGAAATAAGTTCTGGACAACAAATAATGTGTGAAAATGATTTGTCAAGACACCTGAGTGGGTAGAACATCACTGACAACATTTCTTGTTGATTTAGAATCTTAAATAGTGTAGAAGTAGGGTTTGGCTCCTCTTCTTACTCTAAAGTGCTTTTCTGTGGCTTGCTTCAAGAAATTAGCTTGACATTCAACAGGTGAGTTTCTTTCAGTGGGAATGTCACTGTTTTTGTGCCAGACAGGTAAGCAGTGGAATCTACCAGCTGATCTCACTCAGCTGATGTTGACTGATTTCCTGTGCAGTTGCCTTCAGCTCTAGGTGTGGGACATCCAGAACTGTAATGGAATCTGCCAGCAGCAGAGAGCAAGCCTTGCTTTGGTTTTTCACACAGACAGGGAAGTCACATCTCTTATGTTAGTAATGATGGGAATCCTCTGGTGCTAACCTCTGCTTTAAAGCACAACACATATCACATTCCATGAGCCACGTTGCACTAGAGCAATATCATGTCTGGTTTGAGGTTTTGCTTTATTTTTATGTGTAAGAGTAGTGACCAGCACTGCAAGGAATGTCCTGAGCCAGCCTTTTCCACTGGCATGGGAGAGGAGGATGGAGAGGCTGCTCTGGTAGTGAGACAGGCTGGAAAGCAATTGTCTGCTCAGGTTTCACAAGCCCTGTGTGGAAGGTATGAAGCAATCCTGGGAGCCGTGAGGCAGTTCCTGGGATGTGTTGCTCAAACACCATTTAGTGTGGCTCAGGGCAAGTGGCCTGGGTTGCTGTGCTGAATGGGACACATGGGATAACTGCACGTCTGAGGCTTAGTGGGGAGGACACATGCGGAAATGACAGTGCTGGGTGCCTGTGTGGAGCAGGCAGCTGAGGATCAACACCAAGGTATGCTGAGGGGCCACATCCTGCCTCCTGGCTGTCCCCAGCACCCCCTGATGCCAGTGGGGATTCCAGGTGTGCTGAGGAGGGCAGGTGAGGCCCATGAACCCTTCTCTTCATTGCTTATTGTAGAGACTGCTCACAACTGAATCCACTTAGCAATAACTGTGGGACATCCCCTGTGCTCTTGGAGTGGAATAATCCCAGTGTCACGGGATAACCAGTTCATGCTCTGACCATCTTGGCTCTTTTCTCCTCACAACAGCATCAATCCAATATACATACACACTGAAACTCTCTCTTCTGATGCAACTTCAATGTTCCAACCCATTGAGTTTGGTCACTGTGGCAGAAGAGACAGGAAGATGGTTTTAGAAAGAGTCCGCCCATGTCAGATATTCTTGGAAAAGCAGGTTCTGTCAAATGTTGCTTGTTTGTCTTGTCAGGGGGCACTGAGAACTGCTGCTGTGGCACTGCATGGGAAGAGTGGGAGTGGCTGTGGGTTGCACCCCCGCAGTATGGCCAAGAGACTGGGATGGATGAGGATCTTCCTTAGTGATTCAAAAGCATTTCCAAAAGGCCTATAGGTCTCTGAGAATGTGGCAGCTTCCTTAGGAATGAAACAGACTGACAGGACAGGCTGTGTTTCTGCCATCTGCCACATGAACTGGACCGAGACTGACTGAACTACCACACCATCTGTGCCTCAGGAGGTGGAAATGGTCACTCCTACTGCCTGAGGCACCAGTAACAGGTTTTATTAGTCTAGAGAGGCTCCATCACTTCTAATAGCAGAAGGAAGTACTCATTAGCCATGAATACAGGGCCTTCAGAAAGCAGGTATCCCCAGGCAAGAAAGAGGTAGTCCTGTAGGAATATTACTAAATCTCTTAAATGGTTTCTAAATTAGTGGTTTGATGATTGGTGTGGAAGTGAGGGTTCTGCTCTTGCAACAGGCTTTCATACCTTTAGCTTATTGTCATAGTGAGTTCGTGTCTAAGTGGTGATAGAAAATTAAATGGGATCAGTAAACACTTCAGTATTCTTCATCTTTTTTAATCCAATACTGGAAGAGAATTTTTTTTATTTTAATTTTTTATCCTTTTTTTTAATCTGCATCATTCAGTTGCTCAATACACCAGGAAGACCTTACCACTTCCTCTGGATTAAGAAAAACTGCCAGCAGAAGTTCTTACTTGGCAGGCAGCACTCAAGTGTATGTGTGGGAAAGCCTTAAATCAGGGCACTGAACCAGAGATTACCAGGGACAGTGGAAAAATACTGTTTACCTGGAAAAATTGCAACCTCAGGAAGTGTTAGAGAATAATCAACAGTTGTGCTGTACAAATTGGTAGAGCACGGGGTTCTGGGCTCTGCCTGTGCTCTGTGCTCAGGCAGAACTGGATTTGCCAGTGCAGCCCTGGAGAAATTCTGCTAACTTTGGAAGCAGCCTTTGAGAGTTCAGCTGTGGAATCATACCTGGGAGACTGCCTGCCTGAAGTGTGGGCAAAGCCCAGTCCCATCTCCTTTCATGGCCCTTCCTAGGGCTTGTGATCTCCAGCACATGAGTCTCCCTGTTTGTCCTGTGGCCTCTGCCTTCATTGCTTTTTCTCTCTAATGAAAAGCAGTGCAAAAGCTCTGTTCTAAAATGGATGGGTGGACAGGGTCACCCAGTGGAAGAAAATGGTGTGTCACAGAAGCAGAGAAAATAAAAAACAGGTGATGTTAGGAGAAAGAGGGTGACAGAGTTTCCTGTGGGCTTGAAGAGACCTGCAATTCTCTAAGAGCTGGCTGGCTTTTTTTCAGAAAGCAGAATTAATTAAAGCCAGCTTGGGAGGCTAGAGGTGTTCAAACCTTAGTTGCCTCTCCAAAAGTGCTACTTTTGTTCCTGCAGTCTATTTCAAGTTTGAGCCCAGGCTTACCTGTAATTATTTTCAATGTGCTTCCCTGACCTCTGTAGTGCAGGGAGACTCCCAGGCTGCTCCTGGCTGTGCTTACTATTCCTGGTTTATCCTTAGTGTTGGTACACAGTGAGAAGTCAGCTCAGGGAACTGGCCCAGCTTTCTGGGCAGCCATGTGAATATTTGTGTGGATGAAGTGGGGACAGCTCCTCTTCTTGGCAGCAGCACAGGTACAGCCAAGATCCAGTGCTCTGCCACGTGTCCTGGCTTTCACAGGGGTTCCAGCCTTTCCAGGATGGTGGTTTCTGAAAAACGTGGTGTTGGGCTATGAATCTCTTCTGCCTTGTGGGCAGCCAGGCTGTAGGTTCTGTCTGATCAGCTGTGAGGCATTGTAGGCTTTGTTCAAAACCAGCCCATTTGGAACACATTGTGGGAGCTTGGGGGACATGGGACAGACCATTTCACTGGAGACTCTGGCTGCAGGCACATCAGTGAGCCTGGGCCATGGTGCTGCCACCCAAATCAGTCTGGTCACAAGTTTGCCCAGTTTAAAAGGCATGTTTTTTGGGCTCTTCCAGTTGCTTTCTGGGTTTTCAGGCAACTGTGTTAAAACAAGCAGGGATTTTCAGCCTGTTAACACAGCTGTCAGTTTTACAAGCATTTGGGATTCTTCTGGAAAAAAAATGCTACCTATTCCCAGTGAATTTACATGCCCAGTTTTGTGGTGGGTTGCTGTGTCTTTTATTAGCAGCTGAGGAGTAGTGCTGATGTTGGTGCACGTGTTCTGACTTGTCCTTAAATGCTCTCTCCTCTCTACCATGTCCTCTGGCCCATCAGGTGTTACTTAATCTGTTTTGCAGAAGTGGGTTTGTGTTTACTGAAGAGCTCTAGCATGGCTGTAGCAGCCATTTTTACATTTTTACATGGTTTCTGCTTTTCCTGCCTGGGAGTTAGAGGCTGAAAATGAAAGGAGTCAGCAGCAGCCTTTTAGGGCTGGCTCTTGGTGGGTGCTGGGAGGTTCAGTTCAACCCAGAACTCAGTGCTCATTACTTGGTGTAGAAATTACAGCTTGGCTGTCTGAGCTGCCACTGCTGCCAAAAGTTCCCAAATTCCAAAATGGCTTTTTTTGTTTGGCTAAAGACTTTTATATGTAGTCTCTTCAAGAGTCTGTGTAACTTCATAAATCCAAAACGTGTGTGATGTTTAAAATCCCTTTCAGACTGAGCCAAAGCTGAGCTAGAAAGGGTTCATAAGTGCACTCCAGGTCAGATACAGAAACTTCTGATAGTCTCCTTTGCCTAAGAGATATGGATTACACTGAGAATATTTTAGTATTTGGTTTGCTTGGAAGGTGAAGGGAGGGGTGCTGTTTAAGGGTGCTTTGTGATGTGAAGAGTCTTCTTCAACTGCAGGAAGTTCACAACTGCAGGAAGCTAACATGCAAACCCACTTCAGTTTGAGCTGTGGTCCCACACAACAGAGCTAATTATTATTAACCATAGAACAAAAGAATTATTGTTTTTTTTAAACCAGGGTGTTGGTTTGAAATTTGTTAAGCACAGTGCTTGCCTTGGCCG